TAGTCGGAATTGATTTTGGGCAGAATTGAAATTTTAAATTTCAATTATTTATTAACCGGTTAATTTTTTAACCAAACGAGGAGTCATCGGAAAAATACCATGCGCTTACTCTCTCCTATGATGCACTTTTCAACCTTAAAAGCTGTAACAGTATCACAACATTATATCAGATAAGTTCTCTCCTCAAAGTTTTTAATAACTACCAGATTTGGTAACAAACAATCAGGAGAATTTTATTTATCTAGGGAATGGTAAAGAACTAAGAAAAATCTTATTTTCTTTCTTTCATTACGCATAATTCTACAATTTTGTTCGTTTATCTTTTTAATTATATTTAATGACTTCCAAAGTTCGTCCAGTTATTCCACCAAAGCCAGCAAGGCTTTCTATAAGTTCACAAAAACGAGATACTGCCTATTCAACGAATTCAACAAGCTCAACTAAACGTGATACTGCTTATTCAATGAATTCAACACATTCAACTTCTACAACTTATTCGCAAGAACAAATGACTGAGTCGCCACCCCCAGCTTCTCCAGTATCATCCAACGGGAACGATGAGGAAATTGTAGACGATAGAACTCCAAGAGCTTCTGAAGTTTTTTCCCTGCCAGCTGGTCGTCAGGCTAGAGCTTTATATAACTTTGAGGGTGAAACTGTTCAAGAATTGTCTTTCAAAGCTGGTGACGTGCTTAATGTTTTAAAAGAACGCCTTGCTGAAGGATGGTCGTTGGCTGAAAAGGATGGTAAAACAGGACTTGTTCCTGATGCTTATATAACAGTAAGTATATTTGTTGGATTTCTGAGGTTATTTTTTTTTATTTACTATTACTTAATTTATATTATAGTATACTACTGAATTCACTGGACTTCCTAATGCAACCCTTTCTCCTACATGTTCTTATATATCTGAAGATTCCATGGATTCATCTACAGTATTGTCATCTAATGGTCCTCGTAGCAGTACTATGTTGGGCAGAAGACAATTGAATCGATTTAGCTGGTTTGTCACTACGGGTGTTGAGGAATTTATTTTAAATGGCGGAGAGCCGCTAATAGATAATAATAGTCCTGTCCATGTGAAAGAAGGTAGCGAAGATGAAATTACAGAATCAGATAAACATTTTATTCAGGCATGAACTATTTTTTAATGCTACCTACGTAAAGAAGATAATCATTAATTTTAGTTGCAAATTAATCAACTTACCAATCCCTTTTGTTATTTCAGAGCGGTCCAAGTTGGCAAGAGAAAGCACCTATTTTCAAAGTTTTAATTCATCATCCAGAGAAGCGCGTAAAACTCGGTGGTGTATCCGAGTACACAATATTTCATGTCACATCATCGGTAAATCTCCCTCTTTTTTTTGATATTTTCTTTCTGTATATTGATTAAAATCTTTACCTTTTTAGTTTGCGAACGGTGTTCAAGTTACTGTTGAAAGGAGATTCAGTCACTTTGAGTGGTTATATAACTGTTTATCTTCTAAATTCGGTGCGCTTATTCTTCCACCCCTACCAGAAAAACAATATTCCGGACGTTTCAACGAGGGATTTATAGAAAAACGTCGTCGTGCGTTGGAGCGATTTATCAATCGTTTGGCTCGTCACCCTGTTATTCGATATTCAGATTTATTAACACATTTCTTAAGTTGTGAAGACGAATCGGTATGTGTTGATATAGATAAACATTTTACTACAAATCATGTTTAATATTAATGCATCTCAAAATATTCTTTTTGAATTCAGGAATGGCGTAAGCGTGAAAAACAATTTGAAGCTGAGAGAATTGTTGGTCACACTTTTTTTCAACACGTTTATCATCCTGAATTTAATGTGGACGATGGGTAAGTACTTGAAATCAAATATTTTTGTTTAAATGTTCGCTTGTTTATTGAAAATATTCTATATAGTGATATTGAAACAATGGAACGGTTTGAAGCACATGCACGTGCCATGGAAAAATTAATGCCTTGGATAAACGAGGCTTCACAAGCGCACAAAGATTCTATTGATGGTAATGAATAATACTTCTTTCGTGTATCAATTTTTTTTAAAAAAATTTTTTACATAATTTGGTTCATATAGAAATGCAACGCCAATATCGCAGAGTGAGCTTTGCTTTGTTAAGGCTCATCACAGGTCATAATGCTGATGATGGATTTGAATCTACAAACGAGGATGGTGCCTGGTGTTGGAGGGATGGGTGTCACGGTACTTTAATCAAATGCATATTTTATAATTTTGCTTTCTATTTAATTTATAACATTTTAGTTATTTCTTTATTATTATTTTAGCTTGCCTTAGCCTTACAAAGGCACTCCAATCCACTGTTGAAAGCATGCAAACAATAGCAGATTTATATGAATTATATGTAAATATTGGATTATAAATTTTTACATTAATGTTAATATTTCTTGCCTTAATTATGATTTTAATGTATTTTATTAGGCAAAAGAAACAGTCGTTCCATGGATCGAAAGTTTAAGAGAATACAGTTATCCATCTAGTAATTACGAGGTAATCATGATGTATAAGTTGACTTTTTTTTCTTTATTCAGCAAAATGATATATATATGTTATAATAATTTTGTAGGCTTTAGTAGATATGCATATGGGTGCTTACAAAAAGTTCAAAGATGTGTCGGAAGAAAATGAAAGTTTACACCACTTAGGGGTAAGTTTTTTTTTTGGATTAAATTTATATAAATAATATAAAGGAATGTTCTAATACATTCATATATTTATTATTAAGGACATAGATGGTGAAACAATTCGTTCTCGATGTGACACAGTATTCAATGTCACTCTTGCAGAAGTGGACCGAATTCATGAAGAGCGTGTTCAAGATTTCCAGGAAAATACAAAACAGTATTTGGATGGACAAATTGAATATTATGAGAAGGTACATTTATTATAATGATCATAAAGTACAAGTTATAATTATAATAATGCAACTAACTCATTAATTTCATAGATACTTGAAGAGCTTCGCCAAGCTCGATCTGCCTTTGATGAACCTCATTATACTGCCCTCTCACAATCTGCTCGAACTCCTAGTCAATATGAGACAATGATCGACGATCAACGACCAGTATTATCGCGCCCAGTTTCCGTAAATACAGTCAGTTCCGTATCTGATGTGGTTGGAGGAGTTGTTGATGGTATGGGAAGCATGGGAAATTTCTTGAAAAAAACTGCCAGAACTTCTATTGGAAGATCTTCCATGTTTGATAGTTGGTGGGGAAGAAAAAATTTGGCAAATTAAATAAATTTAAATCTAAATATTATATTAAAGAAACTGAACATTGAATTTATATATTATTTTCAGGGATAATTTTATAATTTATTATTCACAAATATTTATGCACAACAATTAAACTTTGTATTTATTTAATAATGTATCATATCTTTAAATTAATGAATTCGTTTTAAATTAACAAAATAGTATTCATTATTTTTTTTTTAATAATCATGTGAGACAAATCCGCATAATAAAAGAATAAATGTAATTAAATACAGTATCTTTCTTTTTATATTACAATAAATTGTTAAAGTCATATACAATTCTTTTATAAATGAATTTATATATGTTTATCATATAATCTTTTCACATTTTTGAATTATCAGAAATTATATCGTTGAAATAAAAGATATAACAATTATTAAATATTTATTATACAACCTGTATATTAATATTAACATCATACCGGACATTTTCTTAAAATAATAGTATTAATTTAATAATTATTCAAAAAGGTTAAATTTAAACTTAATTATTTATTATTACTAGTTTAGGTCATATTATTAAAGTTAGCAAAATTTAAGCTAAACCTTAATAAAAATAAATTTTGTTATTTGATTAATACTTATATCAGATAATATTTAATATAACTTAAGTATCTATTAATAATTAACATGCATTTAATATCTAATATATATCAATTATATTTGATTAAATTATTATCTAAATATAAAAATATATATATAAATATGTATTATTCAGAAACAAATATTTTAATACAAAATCAAAAGAATAAAACTATTTCTTATAAATACAAATATGATAAAATTATAAAACATATATTATTATATAATCAAAATTATTCTGCTAGTTTTTTAAGATTTGTTTTATCTAAATCAAATTAATAAAGAATTATTAAATAGTCTTAAATATTAAAAATCACAAAATATTATTTATTATATTACTTTAGAATTTTTTTTACTAAAGATTTATAATTATTATATATTTTTTAAAGATTTATTTTATTTTATATAATATTTTACATTTATAATATATTTAAGATTTTGCATATATTTATATAAGTTTTATAAAAATATTAAATAATATAAATTATACTAATTTTTTCATATTTACTCAATCTAAAGTAAAATATAATTTTAATTAAATTAATTAGAAGTCAAATATTATACTTGTTTTTTAAAAATAAAATGTTATTGGTATGATTTTAAATCTTATATTTTTATAATTAAGACTTATTTATCTATATTTATAAATTTATATAATTTTTTATAATTTTTTATATTTATATTATATAAAGTTTTAAATAAATCAGATTAAGATAAATTAAATAAAATTTAACTTAATTTAAATTTTTATTTGATCTAATCTGACTTATTATTATGTAATTTAATTGAATTTATTTGATAAGTCAAGTATATTTAATTTAAAAAAATATTTTTTATTTATTAGTAATAATATTAGATAATACTATTTGATAAACCTGTTGCTATAATGATCCTACTACGTGATTCAAGTTTAATTAGACAGAATATAATATTTTTTTTTATAATATTATTAGTAAGTATCTAAATTTAATAGCAAAATTTTATTTATCTTAATGTATTTAATATTTCTTAATGCTAATATAAAGGTTTTACTTAAATAATAAATATTTTTCACATATACAATGTATCATACATAAACATCTTGTATATTTATTTAAGTTAATTTATATATAATAAATAATAATGTAGACTAAACTAAAATTATACAATGCATATATGCATACATATTAAACATTTTGATTCTTCTTTCCTTTGCAAGTTTTGCTATTATGACCTGATTGTTTATATAACTTACATCTATATGCCTTAGTATTAGACTCTTTCAAAATATTATTAATTTTCTTTGACTTAGGATGACCTTTTAGTCTTCGTAAAATAGGATTCTGAATCTCTAAATTTTTATCATCATTCTGAGTATTGAAATTCTCTCTGCTACTACTGAGAATTCTGTGTTATGACATTTTCTGTTGAATAGATCAAAAAATTTCTAAAACTTTATGATATGATAAGTATCTTTATTACCTTTTTTAATAACATTACATAATTTTTTTTCTTAAATCAAACAATTCTCTAAATTTGCGCTTTTTTTGAAATAATACTAAATATTTTATTACTATCGTTACTTATTTTAATTTTTCTGATTTGATTAGCATCAAAATTTGGTGATTGTAAAAATTAGATTGATAATGAATAATTCTTTGATATTGATGCATTTAAGGAAATGACAACAAATTCATTATTTGATATGTTGATTTCTTGCAATTGATTTTTATATTAATGCTGATTTATTAATCTGATATAGAATCAGATAATTAGTATAAGAGTTATTAATCAATAAAAGTGGTGGTATATATATCCATGTGATTTGAACATTATATATGTATAAAGAAAGGTACTGTCATTCAAAAGGTATATAAAGTGTAATATTTTCAGATTTGCTAAATATAAAATTTCTCAGATTTTAAGAACAGTCAAAGTATCTTCTGAAAAGAAACTCAAATGGATTTGTGAAAAGTCAAACAGGTTATTAATAAATCTATTTGATTCGTCAAGTATTTAAGATAAGACAATTATTTTAGTAACATTGAAAAGTAACTCAATTATATAACCAAATTAGCATATAATACTTACATTTTCTTTAGAATGCGTATTTTTGAATTCAATCTCTGTAATATGATAACAGAACTTAAGTTCATTTGCTTCTTCTGTTTTTTAATAATATTTAGCATTAAGAATTTATGTAATTGTCTTACAACAATCCCAAAAATAGATTTTGATACATTCTCAGGTCCTATCTGCAGCATAATTTGCTTTCAACTCATAAATTTACAATAATCATTTTCTTTCTAATACCTCTCTTCTAATGTATCAAATAATTCATACAATGAAAGACTTGAACTTTTAAAAAGTTATTTTAATATAGCATTTTTACCTTCATTATGAAAGGTTGATTATACATCAGCAGTAAAATATTTATTTGTAAATGTAACATTCATGATTGAAGATTACATCCTAAAATCTTTTTAAATAGTCTTTTAATTGTGAATAATTCTGTAGCAAAGCATTAACTGTAAGATCACTATCAGTTACGAAAACTCTTGATAGTATACTGGTTGCTTTTTTACATATTAAAAAACCCATTTATAAAAGAGCTGTGTTTTATCATCAATGATCATCTGAGCTACGATTCATGTCTTTAAACTATTATCTGAAGTGATGAAAAGAGACAATAGACGATTGTAATAGTTAGTTTTGCAGGTATTATTATACATGATAATATCATGATAATATAACTATAAAATTTGTTGTTCTAGACTCATCCAAAAAGATGTATTAATAATAAAGTAACTGGATCAAACTTCATTGAGATTACCCATCATGGATCTCCAAATTTTTTATTGTGAAGTCTTTTTAACAATAACCCTGTATTCTCTTTATCTAGTGTTGCTTCATGACAAAAATTATCAATGACATTATAAAGATCTGATCAGTATATTCTTGTTTTGAACTTTTCTCAAATAATTCAATATTGAACTGTTGCGTTTACTTTAGTAATAATAGTTAAAAATCAAATTTCTTCAAGAATTTCTTCTGGTAATTTTTGTAATATTAAAATAAATTTGAATATCGTTAAATTTTGTGACTTCTAAACAGCCCTTTTCCTTTTTAACTCAAATATTAACTCATTATAGACATTCTACTCGATAAAATGATATATTTGATTATGTTATTTATTTAGATATAGCTTTTTCAGCATGATAATATAAATACTTTTACTTTATTACTTTATTTATCATTTTATCGATCTTTTGTCACCACCAATTCGTATCCTATGACCTTTAGCAGCTGTATACCTTTTTATGAACTTTGCAATATGATCTCAACTTTGAAAAGATTTACCAACAAAAAGATTCGCATCCTTTTCTATATTTGCAATTTCATCAGATATACTATATATCACTTAATTTATAATACGATATTCTAAAAATTTAATTACTTACCTATTCATATTAGAAAATCTTTTGCACTATTATATTCTAATATCATATTCTTTATTTTGGATGCTTGATTCTTTCATATTATGCAAACTTTTATTGCAAGTATATTCAAAAATGTGTTTTATATAAAAAGTAATGAGAAGTTAAAAAAGAACTTAAAAAAGCTACCAAATAGAATTTTCACATTAAAGCAAAAAAGTTCAATTATTATAAGAAGGTAATATATATCTTTTACTATTGTTACATGAAAGAAGACATGTATGATGATGATCTAAAGGATGACGTCAATCCCTAAGAAATCATATATGTCTTCTATGTCATCTATGTCGTCTATAGC